CAGAAACTTCCGTCGTACACCAGGATATCAGAAACACCGCCTTCTATTCCTTCGTACATATTGTTTTAAGATACACAGACTTCCGCCGTACAAATTGATATACGATAAACGGACTTCCACCGTACAAATTGATATACGATAAACGGACTTCCACCGTACAAATTGATATACGATAAACGGAATTCCGTGGTACAAATTGATATATGATATACAGACTTCCGCCGTACATACCGATATACAATAAACAGACTTCCGCCGTACACATTGATATACGATAAACGGACTTCCACCGTACAAATTGATATACGATAAACGGACTTCCGTCGTACAAATTGATATATGATAAACATACTTCCGCCGTACATACCGATATACAATAAACAGACTTCCGCCGTACACATTATACGATAAACGGATTTCCGCCGTACAAATTGATATACGATAAACGGACTTCCGTCGTACAAATTGATATATGATATACAGACTTCCGCCGTACATACCGATATACAATAAACAGACTTCCGCCGTACACATTGATATACGATAACAGACTTCCACCGTACAAATTGATATACTATAAACGGACTTTCACCGTACACATTGATATACGATAAACAGACTTCCGCCGTACACATTGATAAACGATAAACAGACTTCCGCCGTACAAATTGATATACGATAAACAGACTTCCGCCGTACAAATTGATATACGATAAACAGACTTCCGCCGTACACATTAATATACGATAAACGGACATCCGCCGTACACATTGATATACAATAAACGGACTTCCGCCGTACACATTGATATACAATAAACGGACTTCCGCCATACACATTGATATACAATAAACAGACTTCCGCCGTACACATTGATATATGATAAACAGACTTCCGCCGTACACATTGATATATGATAAACAGACTTCCGCCGTACACATTGATATATGATAAACCGACTTCCGCCGTACACATTGATATACGATAAACGGACTTCCGTCGTACAAATTGATATATGATAATTGATATACAATACATTGATATACGATAACAGACAAATTTATACTATAAACGGACTTCCGCCGTACACATTGATATACGATAAACAGACTTCCGCCGTACACATTGATATACAATAAACTGACTTCCGCCGTACAAATTGATATACAATAAACGGACTTCCGCCGTACACATTGATATACAATAAACGGACTTCCGCCATACACATTGATATACAATAAACAGACTTCCGCCGTACACATTGATATATGATAAACAGACTTCCGCTGTACACATTGATAAACGATAAACAGACTTCCGCCATACACATTGATATATGATAAACGGACTTCCGCCGTACACATTGATATACAATATAATAATTACCTCAGTTTTGTTAAAATTTTGCTATTTTGGGTGGAGTGCCGCGTTTCTGTATGCAGTTTGTTCTGCGAGAAAGTAATCAGCTACATTTTTGTTAATATTTTGATATGAAACAGAATTCTCTCTTTCTCATATGTATTGATTAAGTACGTGAAGACATTAAGATGTCTGTGTATGATAACAACGATCGAGCCATTCGTTCGTTTATCTTCAATATTGAAACGGACTATAACATGTGCTTTTTGTAGCCTGTAAATTGATAGTGTTGAACGTGATAGCGATATATTCGGGATTTGGGAGGGGCCTCGTACAGGGGAGCCCCATCCTGCACACAACTTATATTTACGGGGGACGGGGGTCGTATAGCTGATATGGTTAACGGAACTGAATATAGTCAATATATGGTCCACGGAACAGTTACCGATACGGAATATTTTCGGTTCTACCGATATGTTTTCACGGTACACTACTAATATGATTCACTGAATGTTGCCGGTAAAATTATCCGGAACACTACGTAACTGATATGATACATAATTCCTACACGGGAAAGCTGATGTTTAAATTTATCTGCTCCAGTAGAGGACGATAGGTACTCTCTGACAGGTCGAGGTGCTTAATCAGGCCTGTATCGTAGATATGTTCGGCAGAGATGTCTGTAAGTCTCTGTTCTCCGGTAAGAAGCAGGCTTAAAACATCCATCACTTCGTCTACCAGCTGTTTTAACAGGACAAAAACCTACATGTGGATGTTCGCCGGTGTAATTATGAAATTCTTGCTATAGAATACAGGCGCGGGTGCCAGAGCAGGAGATGGGATGGTTTTGATTGTAAGGAAGCAGTTCCGTAGTTTTGCCCTGTCAGTTTAAATAATTTGCCGTTTGTGTACATCTGGCTATCGGCATCAGTTGTGTCTAGCAGGAATGTAACAGACGGTAAAAAGATTTACTTAGTTCTCAAAATCACACAACAAATCAAAAATCAGAATATCAAAAGAATGAAGTTCTATGATAATAATCCGTTACGTAACAAAATATAATCCCATCTCCTTTCCTCTTTCTACTCGATCCTCTCTAAGTCCTCTCCCATGACCACGAACACTTATCTATCACTCATTTCCCTGACTGTACATCCAAACGTACCCTTGTATACCACTCCTTCTGTCCTACATATTTCCCTGATTGTACCCCACACACGTACCCTTGTATACCACTCCTTCTATCGTACAAATTTCCCTGATTGTACCCCACACACGTACCCTTGTATACCACTCCTTCTGTCCTACAGATTTCCCTGACTGTACCCCACACACGTACCCTTGTATACCACTCCTACTCTAACAGATTTCCCTGATTGTACCCCACACACGTACCCTTGTATACCACTCCTTCTGTCCTACAGATTTCCCTGATTGTACCCCACACACGTACCCTTGTATACCACTCCTTCTACTCTAACAGATTTCCCTGATTGTACCCCACACACGTACCCTTGTATACCACTTCTTCTGTCCTACAGATTTCGCTGATTAGACCCCACACATGTACCCTTGTATACCACTCCTTCTGTCCTACAGACTTCCCTGATTGTACCCCACACACGTACCCTTGTATACCACTCCTTCTATCCTACAGATTTCCCTGATTGTACCCCACACACGTACCCTTGTATACCACTCCTTCTGTCCTACAGATTTCCCTGGTTGTACCCCACACATGTACCCTTGTATACCACTCCTTCTACTCTAACAGATTTCCCTGACTGTACATCCAAACGTACCCTTGTATACCACTCCTTCTGTCCTACAGATTTCCCTGATTGTACCCCACACACGTACCCTTGTATACCACTCCTTCTGTCCTACAGATTTCGCTGATTGTACCCCGCACACGTACCCTTGTATACCACTCCTTCTACTCTAACAGATTTCCCTGATTGTACCCCACACACGTACCCTTGTATACCACTCCTTCTATCCTACAGATTTCCCTGATTGTACCCCACACACGTACCCTTGTATACCACTCTTTCTGTCCTACAGATTTCCCTGATTGTACCCCACATATGTACCCTTGTATACCACTCCTCATTCCCTTGTTCCTTATATCTTGCACATTTCTCCTCTTGGGCATTTATGCACACTAATAGTCATGCATTTAGACGATGCAATCAAATTCATTTTGCCCAAAGATTTTTTGTCCAAATTAGCGTAAAGCGTTTCCATATGTGCTGTAGACGAGACTGTTGCAGCAGCCAGTGTACGAGGTCATTGTTGCCTCGCTCTGACATATGTAGAGTCTAACATTATTACAACACCGCCAATTAACTTTGCGTGTTAACACCATTCCTGTGACTGTAGCAATCAACTCCCGAGGTGCATCATTCAATAGGACATCTGGATACTGCTCGTGTGAATAAAACGATTTCTGGCAACCAACATCACACTGCCATCAACAATATCACAAGGTACTCTCATAAATAATGTCACATGATACTGTCATCAACAATGTCACATGATACTGCCATCAACAGTATCACAAGATACTGTCATCAACAATGTCACATGATACTGTCATCAACAATGTCACATGATACTCATCGACAATGTCACATTATACTGTCATCAACAACGTCACCTCATACTGCCATCAACAATGTCACCTGATACTGTCATCAACAATGTCACATGATACTGTCATCAACAATGTCAGGAGTGTCAACATGAATATTACAAGAAACTAACATCAAACAAACCATATCATAGTGCCATTGAAACGCAATGTTATACCAAACCCTGCGTGACATCATAACATGTCATGGGACCACAATGTTATACCAAACCCTGTGTGACATCATAACTTGTCATGGGACCAAAAAAAAAAAAAATTGACAGACAAAAGATGGATGCAGCGGTTTTTGAAAACAGAAAAGCTAATAAGAGGATCATGGCCCTTAATGGTCATCTAACTTCAGACCTTTGATATAACAGCAACAGAAAGAGTATAGAAGAATTTAAATGATTGAAACATTCTGATTAGAATATTTTGGCAGTGAAGGCAAACCTGAGGCCTAATGGGACTGAAATGTTCACTTGCTCTACACCCAACACAAAAGACTTAGTTTGTTCAATTTCTGCAAACTTGTTGACATCCTACTCCTCAAATACCACAACCAAAGACCTATTACTTGTTAAAAAAAATCCAATACCAGCAACTTGGGCCTTTCGGTTATTGAGATTTTAACAATATTTTAACACATCTGACTCCTGTGACTTGGAAAGTGGGTTAAGGGTCAATGATAACAAAATGTTTACAAGCAAAAAAAAAAAAAAAAAACCACGATAGCTGTCCGTCAGCATTCTTTTTAAAAACAGTTCCCAGAATTGGCATTTCACATTAAGATACTAAATGGAACCTACATATGAAGCTTGAAAATAATCTCTCCATTTTTTTTCAAGAAATAGTGATAATCCCTGAAATGGTCCATTCACCACTAGGGACCAGGAGGAACCTAAATATGCAATTTGAGAATGATCCATCCAGTCCTTCTCGAGAAGATACGGTTACATATTAAAAACTGTTTAATGACAGAACAGCAACATACAACAAGCAGATCACAGTCAATTTATAATGTTTTATTCACATTTCTAACATTTAGTATTATGATTACCGGACAAGTATATATTATATTAGTGGACAAGCATTCTGTTGGCCCTTACAACCATCTCTCTCTCTCTCCCTCACTCTGTATCTCCATCTCTTGTATTACTGGGACAAGCAAGGTCATGCTATCGTTCATATTATATTCCCTTTATCGGTGATGAGATAAAAAAAAAGAATATAATTTGCTGTAATGACAGATGAACCACAAACCATTTCTACCGAAGAACAGTTACCATCCTGAAAGATATTTGACTAAACACTTCAGGCATGGAAAACTGCCACAGCTGTGTTAAGGATCAGACTGCTTGGTATCCTGGTCTGCCTATTACACAGTAACTCTACATGACAAAATATCCTGTTGTAGCATGATATTTTGGTTGTACGACAAACTGCCTACAAGTGCCTTGATACTGTCCCCATACATACATCTACTCCATCAGCATCTTCACATGTACACCAACATGAACTCAAAATGTCATCTTCCATCATTGTTTTTTCATGAAGCTTGACCTTACAAAATGACTAAGTTTTGCGGAGCCTCGGGCTACAAGTGTTTGTATGGCCTGTGTCTTGCTGTGGGCTGTGCCGGACTGACTGTGTTTTCATAGGTGTTTAGGTGTCAAATGACTTTCCAGCACTACTACCTCTACAAGTACACAAAACTAAACCCACTTACCCTGATACACTGCTTAATTCACTGTTTACTTTCCCTCGGGCAATTTTTTGTTAAATTTATATTTTGATCGATTTATCATGTAATGAGAAGTGGCTGTTATTTTTAACTCCCTGGGGCAAAGGTTTATTTAATTCTCCCGAGAGACATATACAGTTCTACAGATGACACTTGTGACATCTCATTCGATTCAGGCTTCAACTACCTCAGCTATGAATCTATAAGCAATACAGAATAGTAGAATAACATCTCACACTGCCCCCACAGTACCGTAGATAACCTAACGTCACTACAGTACCATAGATAACCTACAGCCACTACAGTACCGTAGATAACCTGGTCACTACAGTACCATAGACAATCTACAGCCCCCACAGTACCGTAGATAACCTAACGTCACTACAGTACCATAGATAACCTACAGCCACTACAGTACCGTAGATAACCTACAGTCACTACAGTACCGTAGATAACCTACAGTCACTACAGTACCGTAGATAACTTAAGAGTCACTACAGTACCGTAGATAACCTACAGTCACTACAGTACCACAGATAACCTACAGCCACTACAGTACTGTAGATAACCTTGTCACTACAGTATCACAGATAACCTACAGTCACTACAGTACCGTAGATACCCTACAGTCACTTAAGTACCATAGATAACCTACCATCACTACAGTACCATAGATAACCTACAGCCACTACAGTACCGTAGATAACCTAGTCGCTACAGTACCGTAGATAACCTAGTCACTACAGTACCGTAGATAACCTAGTCACTACAGTACCGTAGATAACCTAGTCACTACAGTACCGTAGATAACCTAGTCACTACAGTACCGTAGATAACCTAGTCACTACAGTAATGTAGATAACCTACAGTCACTACAGTAATGTAGATAACCTTGTCACTACAGTACTGTAGATAACCTTGTCACTACAGTACCGTAGATAACCTTGTCACTACAGTACCGTAGATAACCTTGTCACTACAGTACCGTAGATAACCTTGTCACTACAGTATCACAGATAACCCGCAGTCTTTACAGTTCTCCCTCTATATATATATTTAGCAATAGGTAACCCTATACTTGTTGAATGTTTTTAAGCCTAATTAAAATGAAATATTTCAAAAAATTATAAAATTCTACGTTTTAACACATTATGGAAAGCTGCTTCATGAACCACAATAAGGTAAGATTACACACTTTAAAACATGAAAGGTGAGGTGTTCAAGTTTGCAACTCTTTTTTTTTTTAAACATATTACAATTGTTAAGCCTGATAACATTCAATAAAAAAAATACAAACGGCAAACTCAAAATAATCATTAAGATTGTGGTACTGACCACAGTATTAACCAGTAGGTCACAAAAGTACAAGTTTAATACAGTTAAAAAAAAGTATCATTAAAATCTTACAACAAAGATTTATTACAACCTATGTTTTGTATAAACTGTTGCCATGGTTACAGTATATCCTCTGACCTCTCCTTGTCAGCCAATGTAAAATTTGGTCAAGTTCTCCACACAACCCTAGGACTACAACATGCTATTTAGAGAGGGACAACATTGTATACATCTACAGCATTTTGTGACTGAGTTTGGCACATTAAAAAGCTTGGTAGAATATCCAGCAAGTTTTTTTTTCCACTCTTCTATGCTCCAAATCGATATTTTAAAAAATTCTAAAAACACATTAGATTAAAGTCATCTTAATATCAAGGAATTCACTCAAAAAAAAAGAAAGAATGTAAAAATAAATTTAATTTCCAATCTTTTTTTGTTCAGTTACTTCATCAAGTGTGACACTGACAAACACAGGTTTAGCTAAACCACTTTTGAATCTGAAATAAGAAGTTAAAATACTGATTACATACGTAAAAAAGCTAGAAAAAAATGATCGTCTCGATCTAGGTCAAATTTTGGAAGCCAAGGTAAGGGTACACACACTCGATACATGAAATTGAAAGTTCAGTATATGCGCCTCAACATTACTGACAACTTTGATACATGTTTTTTTTTTAATTATTTTTAACACAATTAACACATTAAAAAGGTATCTGTGATATAAAATGTGTTTTACATTATTCAAATTCAATAAAATTAACCATTGACACAGATTTGCAGTTATAAGCTATATACAAATGCATCTACCATTGCCTCACTAATGCTTTTTACACTAGATACAGTTCTGTACATACACCAACAAGCCAGAACATTTCCTCCAAAAACCAGGAAACATCCAAAACCAGGAACCATCTATCCCCTCCCCCACCAAACATTTCTTCCTCAAACCAGGAAAACCGGAAACATCTATCTCCCCTTCCTCTCCCAGAACACGTCCTCCAAAAACAAGGAAACATCCAAAATTCAGTAGATGTATTTTGTCTATTTAAACCAAAATGGCATATTCCGAACCAAAGCATACACAAAAATACAGACAGGTCCAGAACTAAGATTGTTAATAAGTACAGTGAAAATTGACAGATGCTGGGTTTGTTTCCTGGTACGTTGAGATTTCTGATCTGCATCAGATGTTGGAGGAGTCCACCCGACTATTTGGTGTTGTAATTCTGTACATATATATACAACCTTTATTTAATATTACAATTTATAGATAAAATACTGTACATTTATGTAAACTCAACTATCCCTTCCCTGGGTCAACCAGATTAAAAAGGGATGCCAAGCTTGTTATATAAAATAGTTTAATGTAATTGTAAAACTTTACACACAATTAATAAATTAATTGGAAAATGTTGAATGCTTAAGTTTTCATACATTAATGTATACAGAACAAAAATATGCACATGTAACTTTTTTTTTCAAAAATGAATTTTCAAATACATACCATACATGTATGTATTTATCTAAAACTCAAAAGGACATTAAAAACTTCACATAGATCTATTTCAGTACTTTAAAGTCTTGCGAGAAAATGACTGGCCAAAATCGTTAATATTAAACTCCACAGAATATCGACATGATGAAGCTAACGGCCATAATGACTCTGTCCTCAGTACCATCCTTTCAAAAGCCAAGCCTATTTCTACAGGGTTTATAGTTAAGTCATTTTGTGACATTTCAATAAGTTGAGGTGTTTAACGATAATTTTTCAAGCAGTATTTGTTGTGGTTCTGATATGTCGTGCAGAACATCAGTGTAATGCATGTTTTATGAAAATGACACTGGTTTTTTTAATCTCGTTAGAATTATTGCCCTTGTGATAAAAGTTTTTCCATTCTTTTTAAGGATTTCTAAAACTTTTATATATAGTACTAGCTAGCGTCACAAGTAGTCTGGCACACATAACTGCATAAATTTGGCAAAAATAATTTCTATAAAATGAAGTTAATTTTTTGTTCCACAGAATAACGAGGCACTTTTTTATCTTGGAAAAAAGGCTGCAAACAACTCCGATCACTATCGCTACAGACTTGTTCCACCATATGGAATAGAACTGGATCAACCTGCTATATATTGGTACAGTGTGGAGACTAGTGCCAAATCCTGAACATCTACAAGGGCAGGATAGTCATTATTTAAGTGTGGTCTACATATATTGCTCGTTTGACATTTGATATTTCATTTGGCAGTCACGGTTATGCATATTCATGACCTCAACTAAGTAAAAGGTCAAGTCATTTGGTGTATACATAAAAGCTAACCCTAAAATTTCCCTGAAGAATGGTGTGTTTAATTCTCTTTCAGAGTGGTATGAAAACCAATGAAAAATGAAATCTTGTAATACTGATAGCACATGTAGTAAAATCATTATTTTGGCCTTCACTTCCCTGTTCAAAATACTGCATTTTACCATGTATATTGTTTGTAGTGTTATATTAAGTACTGGAAAAAGGGAACAAAATCTTCCATTATATGGCAGCTTCTTACAATACATACACTTTCACACACTTGACATGTACACAAAATCACTCATGCAAATTTGTATAAAGTACAGGCTGAAAGTTAGAGTAAATCTTTTAACAATATTTAGCTAGTTTATGTAACTTGTAGGACTACTTTTAATTACTCAAAATAATACCTACAAAACATTCTTGTGATGATGTATATGTAGCCTATTAGCTTTAAGGATGTTATATATCTCAAATAAAAAAAAAAAAAATTCCTCCAAATTACTTAAATCGTATCAATTCCTGCTAGACCTCGCCAAATACTTTTTTTTCCCTCCAAAAATCTGACAAAAAATATATAAACGTTTCTGAAGCGTTTAATCTTAGATATGATCCTAGCTAATTCACACCTAAATGACAGTGTACCATTGATATGTAACATTTCTGCACCATAAGTGTTATGTTCAGATATTCAGAGCATTACACACATTGTATAAATTTTGTATTTAACATAATTCACATGAATTTAAGTTCAATCATGTTTGTTTATACACTAAAACAATAGAAATATTTCTCTCGACATCAGAGAACTCCAACCATGAATTTTCTGTTGCATGTACTGCTAACCCTATCATGGTATCCCTCATGTGATGAGCTGTGACATAAAATCAAGTGAATGGGGAAGGGCCTTCCTCATCATCCAAAACAAGAGTACATCTTTGGCATTTAAATGGATGAATGGTTTCGTTAACACATGAAAACATTACACAACCTCTAATCAACAGGCCCCTAGAGTCAATACTGCAAACCTGAAGCTCCACCATCATTTCAGTGGTAGGGCCACATAATTACAGGGAAAGTCGACCAGTTACATCCTCAGATCAATACACCAACAACACCATTGTAGCACTGCAGGCGCTTTACATGTGCATGACACATCTTGATAACGGTTCCTATGGATAATGACCACATTTTTACATGTACGTTACACATCCGAATAATGACTGAATTCATGTAGTTTATATTGTACATCTTATCCACATATGGACTGCCCATATATCAAGTGTAATGTTACACAACAGTTTCGGACTGCTTTTTAGAACCACCACATAGTCTTGCGTAAAAACCTTTCCACGAGCTGACGGTCTTGCCCGTCCAGATCCACACTCCGGAGGTGATTCCCACGATTACTGTCATCAAATATTTTATCATGAACACATTGAAGTCTGGGTTATGGTTGATCGGCAGATCTACCAGACATGTGGTTCGCGACATTGAACATTTCTTGTAGAACCAGGAGGCCATCCAATTGTCTCGGAATGACTGTTCATAAAAGTAACATGCGATCACTATGGTCGCAGGTACTGTGTACAGCACAGAAAATATTCCTATTCTCACCATTAATTTCTCAAGTTTATCGGTTTTTGTACCGTCACTTTTCATAATTGTTCTAATACGAAATAATGAAACAAATCCTGCAAGTAAAAACGATGTTCCAATGATCAGGTATAACACTAGTGGAGCTAAAACAAATCCACGAAGAGCGTCCACGTCAAATATACCTGTAAAACAGACACCACTGAGGACGTCTCCGTCAACTTGTCCCATGGCCAGTATAGCGATAGTTTTGATAGCTGGAACAGCCCAGGCAGCTAAGTGGAAATACTGCGAGTTTGCCTCGATAGCCTCGTGACCCCATTTCATGCCCGCAGCTAGAAACCATGTCAAGGTCAAAATCACCCACCAGATTGAACTGGCCATGCTAAAGAAAAATAACATCATAAAAAGAATAGTGCACCATTCTTTCTTTGTTCCTTGTGTCACAAGCGATTCTTCTCGGCCATGAAATTTGTTACAAGCAACGCTGTCCTTGTCGAGGGAGAAACCGATCACATAGGCCAGCGCCACCATAAAGTAGCATCCCGACAAGAATATGATAGGGCGCTCCGGGTAACGGAATCGGGTCATATCAATAAGGAATGTCAAAACTGTAAACAACGTGGATCCAAGACAAATACAGGACCATATACCAATCCAAAGACGCGCTGTGTCTAATTTTGCTTTCGTGAAAAACATATCATGACAGGGGGCACCGCAGTCTCGAAACACATGATTCTTAATCTTCAGTCTGTAATCAAAACCTTGATTTACCTTCAAATCTGCTGGACATTCATAATTGTGGCGTCGTGTTGTGTTGAATACCTGATCAGGATTGGGAAACATAATTGTACCCCCTCCCCCAGGGATTCCTGTCCCTGGGTCGCCGCCCCCGTTACCTGTGCCCGTGGTGGTGTCGGGGTCAGTGTTGTTTTCACCAACACACAGTCCTCTGGGTGGAAACTTGCTACACTCTAATGTATCTGGCCATTGGAATCCAAATTTGTTCATCAGACTCTCGCATCCATGTCGAGCCTGGTTACAAAGAGACTGGCAGGGCGGTATAGGTTCATCCAAAACGGTGCACACGGGCACATACATTGTACATAGGAAAAGTCGCAGCTGGGGACTGCACTGAACTTTAACCAGTGGAAAAAACTGATGCACTTCTAAGCCGGCGTCGTCCTGGTGCTGATGAGCCAGCAAATTGGGCATAATTGTCTCATTGTATATAATATCTTTACACAAAGGGATAGCAATCGGTTCACATTTCGAATTTGTACGAGTTCCGGTACCCGAGAACCCCCCTTGGGCTTTACTCACGTTCAGAATGGCGCATTGGTGCAGTAGAATTGTCAGCAATACTAAACACAACGATCCCCGCGCCATCTTAGATCCTTACACACGTTTAGATCCCAAAATTCATGTCCTGATTTCGTCAATTCTTACGTTAACATGACAACAAAGTTGTAACTGGGCACCTTATCAAAACAAAACACAGTCACAAACAACAAACTTACTGCTAATCCTCACTGTCTGTGATCTCTGTGTTCAAGCAATGGCCGCCTTTGTGCCAAGACTATTCAAAAGAATTGAATATAATTAATACGTTTCGAGGCCTCTACAACGAATTCCTTTCATGAACTAGGCCTGCGCTGCGGCAATGGTGTTCGATGGGGATCTAGAAACCGTAGCCAATGATTAGCGGCTTTACATGTAGTACTCAGATACGATTGGCTGAGGTGTCAATGATAATGACATTCGGCTGTTCCGTTGTTCTCCCTCGGTAAAAGGGACAAGTTGAGTGATACTTGTATGTCATTAGGCCTTGTACCTGTAAATTAATTAGAGGGCCGAATTAGGAAGTTTGATTGAGAACATTGTGTTATTACCTCTCAATCACTGTCGCTATGCCTGTCAGCGTGGATCAACAGAAGGAAAGGGCATAGCGTTATTTAGGCGTAGTTTGACTAATTAAATAATTGCAAGTAGCCTACTTCTTCACTTAAATATATAAATAAACTCTCCTTTATCATGACGAAATATTGTCGAGGTCATAAAATTATATCGAGATACGTTGTGGATTTCGATAGAGCCACCTCATTCTATTTATAGTTTGACGTACATATGTATAATTAACAAAATTATGGAAGTGAAATAAGGCATGTTTACAAAATGTATTGAAACTCCTCAGTTGCCATTCAACTGAGATACAAGCAAAGACGAATAGTAAGATATATCCTAAATGACAACATCGGGGCTTACTGTATAAATAAGGCCGAGTTACGTCCTACTGTGAAACATCCCGACCCTTAGTAACTGACACCTCGAGTTTGTGTAAGTGATTTAAATTGTTTACGTCACGTCTATGTATGTACAGTATATATATACAGTATTTATCAAAACGTCTGATAAATGAATTCCGGTTATCAATTGACATTCCGGAATAATTCACAAATAATAATAGACAATTAAGGTTTTTATATAGTAATTCTAAAAAAAATACTTTTATTATATAGAAATACTTATTTATCGTCTGCCATATTGTGTCTTGATAATGTCATGAAGCTTTATTTAATTAATTGTGACATACCAGGGATATTTAGTGCATGTGCCGAGAAAGTGGAGTTATGGAAAAATGAATTACCCAAAAGTTCTTTATGGTAAATAAGGGGCCCATCACTCTTAGCACAATGTAAAATTTTATTAAGTGGCTCCCCTTCCCCTAAATATAAATCTGATTATATGATTCATGGATTCAAGGAGGAGTAACCATCTTGAGTAAATTTGATAAAACTACACCACAACAGCAAATAGTAAGTGGTCAAGTGGAAGGAGGCGGTAGTGTAGGTGGGAGAGGTGAGAAAAGGTCAAAATACAGGGTGGAGGTGACGTGTTGGGAGGACACTATTTGTGAAGTGAGTTGAGGAAAGGATGGTAACTATAGAGAGAGGGTGGAGGAGGATACCAATAGGGAGGATGGAGGGAAGGAATGTAAATGGGAAGGTTGGTACATATAGGGCGGAAGAGAGCTGGCATGTATCGAAAGGGGGTGATACATATGGGGTGAGTGGAGGGTGGGGTGGTATGCATGTTGAGGGGGGGGGGGGGGGGGGGAGGGGTGGAGGGAGCGGTATCTATTAGAGGGGTGGTATGTAGAATAACAGACATATATAGGAGAGGTGGTATGTATAGGAAGGGTGGAATGAGGGGGTATATGTAGGAGGGGTGGTATGTACAGAGAGGGTGGAATGAGGGGGTATATGTAGGAGGGGTGGTATGTACAGGGAGGGTGGAATGAGGGGGTATATGTAGGAGGGGTGGTATGTACAGGGAGGGTGGAATGAGGGGGTATATGTAGGAGGGGTGGTATGTACAGGGAGGGTGGGGTGGAGGGAGCGGTATCTATTAGAAGGGTGGTATGTAGAATAACAGACATATATAGGAGAGGTGGTATGTATAGGAAGGGTGGAATGAGGGGGTATATGTAGGAGGGGTGGTATGTACAGGATGGGTGGAATGAGGGGGTATATGTAGGAGGGGTGGTATGTATAGGGAGGGTGGAATGAGGGGGTATATGTAGGAGGGGTGGTATGTACAGAGAGGGTGGAATGAGGGGGTATATGTAGGAGGGGTGGTATGTACAGGGAGGGTGGAATGAGGGGGTATATGAAGGAGGGGTGATATGTACAGAGAGGGTGGAATGAGGGGGTATATGTAGGAGGGGTGGTATGTACAGGGAGGGTGGAATGAGGGGGTATATGTAGGAGGGGTGGTATGTATAGGGAGGGTGGAATGAGGGGGTATATTTAGGAAGGGTGGTATGTACAGGGAGGGTGGAATGAGGGGGTATATGTAGGAGGGGTGGTATGTATAGGGAGGGTGGAATGAGGGGGTATATGTAGGAGAAATGGTATGTATTGGAAGGGTGGAAGGAGCATGGTAAGTAAAGGGAGGGTAAAGGAAGGGATGGTATATTTTCGGAGGGTTTTACATTCAGAATGAGTGGAGAGTTTGTGAGTATAAAGATGGTTGAGGAAGGGTAGTATAGATGAGAGAGGGGTGGTACATATAGGGAGGGTGGAATGACTGTGGTTAATATGGTGAGGTGGTGGAAGGGGTAGTGCTTATATAGGGAGGGTGGGGGGAGGGGTATATATGGGACAGGTGGTACATATAGGAAGGGTGGAAGGAGTGAAGTATGTAAAGGGTGGTACATATAAAGAGGATGGTGAGAAGGAAAGTATGCATGGAAGGGTAGTGCATATGGAGATGTTGGAGGAAGAGGTGGTATGTATGGGAGGGAGGTACATATAGAGACGTTGGAGGGAGAGGTGGTATGTATGGGAGGGTGGCACATATAGAGATGTTGGAGGGAGGGGTGGTATGTATGGGAGAGTGGTACATATAGAGATGTTGGAGGGAGAGGTGGTATGAATGGGAGGGTGGTACATATAGAGATGTTGGAGGGAGAGGTGGTATGAATGGGAGGGTGGTACATATAGAGATGTTGGGGGGAGAGGTGGTATGTAAGGGAGGGTGGTACATATAGAGACGTTGGAGGGAGAGTGGGTATATATGGGAGGGTGATACATACAGAGATGTTGGAGGGAGAGGTGGTATGTATGGGAGGGAGGTACATATAGAGATGTTGGAGGGAGTGGTGGTATGTATGGGAGGTTGGTATGATAAGGTCAATTGGGGTAGGGAGATACCTACAGGAAAGTTGCAGGAAGGGGTAGTATACATGGGAGGGTGTTTTGCTAGGGTAATGGTAGGTAGGGTGATGCAAATAGAGAGTGGTGGAGGGAGAGGTGGTATAATTTGGAGGGTGATAGGATAGGATCGATGGAAGAAAGTGTGATGTGTATAGGGAGGGTAGTGGGAAAGGTGGAGGAAGAGGTGGTAGATATGGGAGGGTGATATGTATAGGGTCAATGGAGAAAAGGGTGATACATATAGAGAGGGTTAATGGATACATTGTATATATTGAAGGGTGGTATATATAGGGTGGATGAATGAAAGGGTGATAAATATAGAGAGGGTGGAGGGAGAGGTGGTATAACACTGTGATTATATTGAGGTAGAGGGAGGGGTGGTATAATACTGTGATTATATTGAGGTAGAGGGAGGGGTGGTATAATACTGTGATTATATTGAGGGTAGAGGGAGGGGTGGTATAATACTGTGATTATATTGAGGTAGAGGGAGGGGTGGTATGATTATACTGTGATTATATTGATTATATTGGGTAGAGGGAGGGGTGGTATAATACTGTGATTATATTGAGGTAGAGGGAGGGGTGGTATAATACTGTGATTATATTGAGGTAGAGGGAGGGGTGGTATAATACTGTGATTATATTGAGGGTAGAGGGAGGGGTGGTATAATACTGTGATTATATTGAGGGTAGAGGGAGGGGTGGTATAATACTGTGATTATTTTGAGGTAGAGGGAGGGGTGGTATAATACTGTGATTATATTATAATACTGTGATTATATTGAGGGTGGAGGGAGGGGTGGTATAATACTGTGATTATATTGAGGTAGAGGGAGGGGTGGAATAATACTGTGATTATATTGAGGGTAGAGGGAGGGGTGGTATAATACTGTGATTATATTGAGGGTAGAGGGAGGGGTGGTATAATACTATGATTATATTGAGGTAGAGGGAGGGCTGGTATAATACTGTGATTATATTTGAGGTAGAGGGAGGGGTGGTACAATACTGTTATTATATTGAAGGTAGAGGGAGGGTGGTATAATGCTGTGATTATATTGAGGGTAGAGGGAGGGGTGATATAATACTGTGATTATATTGAGGTAGAGGGAGGGCTGGTATAATACTGTGATTATATTGAGGGTATAATACTGTGATTATATTGAGGGTAGAGGGAGGGGTGGTATAATACTGTGATTATTGATTATACTGTGATTATATTGAGGGTAGAGGGAGGGGTGGTATAATACTGTGATTATATTGAGGGTAGAGGGAGGGGTGGTATAATACTGTGATTATATTGTGGGTGGAGGGAGGGGTGGTATAATGCTGTGATTATATTGAGGTGGAGGGAGGGGTGGTATAATACTGTGATTATATTGAGGTAGAGGGAGGGGTGGTATAATACTGTGATTATATTGAGGTAGAGGGAGGGGTGGTATAATACTGTGATTATATTGAGGTAGAGGGAGGGGTGGTATAATACTGTGATTATATTGAGGTAGAGGGAGGGGTGGTATAATACTGTGATTATATTGAGGTAGAGGGAGGGGTGGTATAATACTGTGATTATATTGAGGTAGAGGGAGGGGTGGTATAATACTGTGATTATATTGAGGTAGAGGGAGGGGTGGTATAATACTGTGATTATATTGAGGTAGAGGGAGGGGTGGTATAATACTGTGATTATATTGAGGGTAGAGGGAGAGGTGGTGTAATACTGTGATTATATTGAGGGTAGAGGGAGGGGTGATATAATACTGTGATTATATTGAGGGTAGAGGGAGGGTGGTATAATACTGTGATTATATTGAGGTAGAGGGAGGGTGGTATAATACTGTGATTATATTG